TATAGCGAAAATGAAAGAATTACAACTAGAATTTGAAAAGGTAAAAGGACATAGTAGAAATAGGTGGAATGATATGGCAGATAAACTAGCAAAGATGGGATCTAAAATAGTAGATAAAGAAAGAATTATAGATAAACCTCCACAAGAATCGAATGTCTCTTTATGCTGAGAAGAAACAGTAGTAGAAGTGCTTACGAGAGAATTTTTACAACTAACACTTGAGCTCAAAACAGGAATAGAATGGAAATCTACATAAGCAATTACGAAAGTAGAACCTGATGACAAGAGACAATACCAATATTGGTCTATTTTATGGAAAAAGATTAGAAATCAAAATGGAGTCATAACTTTTTGCTTAAAAAACAGTTTATTTTGGCACGCTCAGGAGGATTTGAACCTCCGACCCTCTGATTCGAAGTCAGATACTCTATCTGCTGAGCCACGAGCGCAAATTGCTATAAATTATTTTTCGCATCTTTGTCTAACTGAAAATATTCACATTTATTTTTCATGCCTTTTTTTTTAGATGTACAAGCGCAAGAAAGAATAAACATTTTGGGAGTACTAGTCAAATGCTTACACGAGAAACTCTCAGTTCTTAAAACTTTGGTGATTAGAAGACCAGACCTATATAATAGCCCAATTTGTAAATTATGCGCAAAAGGGGAAGAAGAAGATCAAGAACATTTACTTCATGCGAGAAATATGAAGTCAAGTGAATAGAAGCAGAGTAGTAAGCATCAAACTTGGCTTGGACAGCTCTCTCAGAAGAAACCCGCAGTTGTCTTGATAAGGCTCAACTTAAACGCTCTTTTTGGGGTTCAACAAAAGAGGAAAAAAATGCGACAAGAGCTGGCATTCTTAAAGGACTAATTAAAGACAAAATTACAAAGAAAATTCTCGAATTAGTGGGATCACTAAAAGAAGTCAGAAGCTACCTCAACACAGCAGTCAACTCAGCTTGGAATTACTTTTATGAAAACATCTGGAAACAAAGATGTGTATTCCTTAATGATTGGGAAAAGAAAAATGGAATAAACTCGAAAAAGAAGAAAGAAAAGAGACACAAAGTTGAAAAAACAGCTACTAGCAGAAATGAGTCAAACTTGGATCATGAGGAATATAGTCAGAGCCAAGAGCAAACTAAGGAAAAGGTAAAAAAGAAAGAAGAAAACATTAAAGAGAAAGAAGCTAACAGAAAAGAAAATACTTGGTTTGCTATGGTTAAAGACTTTATTGTAAATAGTGTGAAGCCATTTTGGTATGGCTTCAATAGCTAGCTTAGTGTAGCCTTCCGGTACAGGCATTAGCCTTAACTGGTGAGGCAGACCGTCCTTGGGCGCCTATAGAGATAGCCGGGAAATGTCAGATCTATAGTTTAGATAGTTAAATATATGTATATATATATGCTTTGATCTAATAAAGATACCGGCGAGGCTGCTGATAATTGGAAAAAAAAAAAACTATATATATAACTTTTGGTTGCTTATTTAAATAGTCTACTTATTATTAAGTTCTATACTAGATATCATATCTATAACCTGATTAAGAGATGATCTATTTAAACCCTTTGCATCTATATATATTAATTTTTTAATCAAGTAAAAGTACTTAGTATTTCTTTATTTTTAAATATCCAATTTAAAATTTTAAAACAGACACATACTTTATAATAAGCTTTTTGTTTTCAAGATAAGTCTGCTAGAGCCTTCTATATTCATAATTTAGTTGTTTAGTTTTCAGTTGATATGCACAGATCAAGATTTACCATTTGTAGCTCAGTTTCTATAATAGAAGTATTTTCTTTCTATTTTATTCTTACTAGTTTTTTTATATATTTTAACTATACTATGGTCTGATTGCTTCTATACAACCTATTTTTGCCTTTGTAAAGTTTATTTAAATTCTAGTACTTTCTTTCAAGACAACCTGATATCTTCTCTTTTAGTATTCCCTAGTTAGTTTTCTCAAACTATCAATTTGATAGCCCAGAAGAAACACCAATTCTTTGGTATCTGTACTGCAGATTCTTTTTCTCTGGTGTTTTGACAACCTAGTTGGTAGAGTATCTTCTTCAATATCTAGTTTTTGTTCAATTATACTAACCTTGAGTGAAGCCTATTCTAGTAGTATTATTATAAATTTGTATTATCTCTATTTGAAACTTGTTAAGCAGGTGTCTTACTATTGTATTAGATTTGTTAGCTTTTTGCAACTCCTAAAAACTTATCTTGGGTTTGTACCAACTAAACTGGCTTGTATATCTTTGTATAACTTCTTTATTATACAAATACTCAGAGATCTTTCAATTCTGATATAACTATTATGTTTTGAGTTTTCTTAGCCATGACAATAGTTGCTAAATCCATTTTTTCTAAATTCAATTTTCACTCTTTATGAAAATTGAACTTGTACTTAACTGCTTGGGGTGTGACAACTTCACCACTTTACTAAATCACCACACCCTTATATTTACTTTGTAATATATTTATATAATTAAAATCTAAAAAATAATTATTTTTATTTGATATAAATTTAATAAAATATATATATTTAATTGGTTCAAATAAAATTAGCTTATATATTAAATATTAGAATTTTATATAATTGCAATACTCAAATATTATTGTACAACCATGTTAATGATGACTGCACTAAAAATTTTCATATTTGTACAGTTTATATCATTACTGTTTTTATGTCTTCTTTTTATGGCTTAAATTTTAACGACAGTTTTATGTTAAAAAAAAGGGGAATGTATGAAAAAATAGCGTAGTCGTCAATAACTGCTTCACAATAATACCATTATTGGATAGGGTTAAAAATATTCACGTGGACGTTAAACGGCACAGATGATTGGCGCAATCATCTTCTACTGTTTAACACCCGCGTGCATATTTTTGAAACCCTATCCAATAACTATAAAGTATAACTTATATTCTTTACACTAATTATAGTATCTCTTTGACTATAATATCTATATATATAGCTTAAATTATAAAGTATATTGAGTACTTTAGTCTATACTATATGATAGCAATATTAATAAAAATAAACTTTTATTTAAAAATCTATTTGTATTGTACTTTTCTTTTCATATTATACTCTCTAAGTACAAATCAATTTAATTAAAATATATTTGATTTATACTTTAAATATTAAATAAAATGGTTTACAATATATACAAATTTAGTTATCAAAATATAGTGTTTAAAAGATGTTTTTAGTTTAAATACAACTATATTATACAATTATTCTAATAATAAAGGGAAATTCTATTTTCACCCAGGTTAAAATCACCCGAAATATTACTAATACTAATAATTTTAGTTACACAAATGACATCGGGTGATTTTAACCCGGGTGAAAACAAATAAATTATTAATAATTATATAACTAAAACTTAAAATAAGATTCAGATAATATTAGGATAAAATATAAAATAATTTAAAATAATTGCTAAGTTAATTTAATTTAGATCAATTCACATGATTATATGATATGCATAATTTTAATTATTCGAGAAAAATATTTTAAAGCATTTTGAAAACTTTATTAAATAAGTCATCTATAAGCAAGAGATTTTGTAATAGTTTAAAAACTACTATATAATATAAATAGGGAACGCCTATTTCCACCATGAAAATTTGCTATTTCCACCATGCTTTTTATTTTCAATTGAAAAATAACATTCGTCAATTAATAATTGACATACATTGAGAAATGACGCATAAAATTTCCACAATTTGACATAATTTATCATGACAATATGCTTGTCATGTTTATGTAACTGAAAGTCATATGGAAAGTTTGGCAGCATGGTGGAAATAGCAAATGTTCATGGTGGAAATAGGCGTTCCCTATAAATATTGTAAAAGACAAATCTGCCTTGTAATACACAATGGCAATAAATTATTTTTAAAAAGCTTCAAGATTAAAGGTTATTTGATCTTAAAGTTTTAAAAAGATGCTAGCCCTAATTTCATTCCAAAAATCGGAGCATATGCGTGGAAAGACTTGGTCCGAGTAACTAGGGTCAATTAGAGCTTTGGATTACGTCACGGGTTTCTTAATACGACGGTACGGGATTTGGTTACTAATTCCTACCGTTAATACAGATTTTACTTCTCGGGGGGAATTAGTGGAGCCAAACACTTCTGCTAAAGAACTTAAAAGTTTTCGAACTCTTAGAGTTGGTCTTTATTGAGCGAAAAGGCGAGTCTTTTATATAGTTTATATAATTATAAAGTACATTCGCTATACTAACTATGTTCAACATGTTCACCATATTCACTATGTATACTATGTTCAAAATATACACTATGTTATGTTCAAAATGTACACTATATTCACTATGTACAAAATGTACAAAATGTACCGATCCACCAATATAGAAAAGTATATTGCAAGCAACGATCTACCCTTTTACAACAAAAAATAAATGCACTTACAGAATTACCGTAAAGGGTCATATACAAGACCCAGGTCTAGTACACGGCTGAGTTTATATCATTTGGAGAAAGATTTTGAAGAGCATGCACATTTTGCATTTATAGTAGGCAGTCTAGAAATTTTAAAAAATCAGGTTTGATTAATATAGATCTCGTAGTTCGCGCCGGGTCTAATTCATGGGGATCTATTATTATGGGGATCTTCTATATGACCTTTACGGTAACAATCAAAATACCGTAAAAGTGCATATACGTACAAGATCCCCCATATATCAGACTCACCCTCATTTTTTACTAATTATTTTCTTTTTTTTACTAATTAATTTTTTGGTGGAATGTAAGAGATCCGGGTCTTGAATATGCACTTTTACGGTAATAAATAATACAGCAGATGGGTTTATGTACTACGTATATAGTTTTATTATTAAATTTCTGATCATTGATCAAATTAATCTAGTCATAGACATTGCCCGTTTAAACCACGTGGGTACGGTAGTTAAGATTCATCGTCATGAAGATTGAGACTTATTATCAAGATTATTACATATCTCAAGGCCAATTTGCATCGATACTATTATTGTTCTGTGCAATCTTACCACTTAATTCATCACCGTTAACATCAGGATCATCCGAATCATTGACGCTGATTTGCAACATATCGATACTAGGATATCGACTATTTATCCTTTTAGAAGTTCCGTCATTCTTTTCTACCTCTTGCTTAATTTTGTCACCAGCCGTCATAATTTGATAAACATAGTTGAAAATAACCGAAGTATAGGCTGCTATTTCAGTTAGCTTATACAAGAACTTCATCGCCACACTAGGTCGTTGTGTCGTAGTGCTTGATGAGTTTGATGAAAGAGTATTGTTAACCGTAACAACGGCAAACATCTCATCCGTTTTTTGTTGCTTTCGTTGCATTAAAAATTAAAATTATTCGTGTTGTAGTGGAGATAACTTGTATGATTTTAGTAACAATGAGAATATTTTGAGGATTTTAAAGCGAAACCTTTTGATAGAGATACTGGGTTAGCGTTAGGTAGCTCGCAATTAGGTCAGGTGATTAAATTTTCGGGCCATCCTGATCGATTCATTGTTGTACGTATAATGTATGGTAAAACCTTTTTCTGTACATGTTTGAGATATATTGAACCATTAATCTGATGCACGTGAAAGAGCTAATATTAACATGTTTAATTTAACCGCCAAAACATAAATATGCATTATCACGTGATAACGTAATCAAAACAATTACGGAATTTGTCGTTATTGTACTGATCATTATGTATTGTCTGTCTGAAACGAGTTATATTATGACTAGATAAGTATAGTGATAGCAGTATAATCTTTTTTTTTTAATAAAAAAAGATTTTTTTTTTTGTAAACAACGAATATATCAACCAATCACATTGTACAATCATATGTTTCACACTATTGCGCTCGATTTAGAAAGTGAAAGGTGAGTGGATAAAAAAAAATGCGATTGAAAAAAAAAACTATCAAAAAATATGTACGTAATAAGATTTGCACCCTTCTGGACTGCAAGATTTCGACAATTTTGGAGTATGTATGTACGTACGTACGTACATGCCATGTAAGGTAATGGCTATTGAAGATTGGAGCCGATCAGGGCACTGGTCGTTAAAAGTAAAACTAGCTACGTAGCAAAATTAGCTAGTAAATTAGAATAATAGCTTATCGTTATTATAAATTTTAATGTAATCATATTTATCATTTCAGTGAATTCTCCGGTCATAATCTAAAATTTATATATCAGTTCAAGAACAAACATGTTAGTGCAAATTTGCTAAAAAATAGTACGTACTATTTTAGACGAACTAAAATCCGGTGGCTCTGGAGCCGACTTAAAAGTTCAACCCAAACCGACTTAAAAATTAACTAAAAAACCGGCCTTTTAACATCCAAATATCAGAAGCTCGAGATATATAAATTTTTATCACATGACACTTTTAAGTCGAATCCGTGAAACACAAAATTCATATCGATATATCGATATTTCCTTTACCGTTAAGTGCTACTTATAAATTACCTCCCGATTTAGTATTTTGAAACTCAGGTTTAATGCATCTAAAATTCCAACAGAACAAAGATATAGATAGACCTATTTCTAAAAAAAAAAAAAAAATCTTGGAAGCGACATTTATACCTGATTTCTTGAAAGAAAGAACAGGTAGACAAAGGTGGGAAAAAAAGATCCTACCATTGATCAAAGATAAGAGGATAAATTTCTTCTATAAGTATATATTTATAGTAGTTAAAAAATATTGCATACAACTTTTTGTATTTTATCGTAAATTCTCGAAATAACGGGCCTACCATTGACCAAAGATGAGAGGATAAATTTCTTCTATAAGTATATTTATAGTAGTTAAAAAATATTGCACACAACTTTTTTTATTTTATCGCAAATTCTCGAGATAACGGGCATCTATGCGTTATTTTGAATACCTGCGCGTAGTACGACTATGGGCGTTATTTTGAATAACAGATAGATTTTTCTAATCGTGAAGAGTCATCTCGATTGATATAATAAGCAAAATTTTCTGCAATGATAATGTGCGAATTCTTTATTGTATTAGTCGTCTTCACAATTGACCAACATAAAGTTGTCTGCAGTGAAGATTCCTTCATGGTTATATCATATGCAAATATTTATTGTCGCAGCTGATACTGAAATTTTGAGTCTCGATTTGAAAATATAAACCCTGCTAAAATTCAAATATACTCTTTAATTATCAATTCTAACCCTAAATACTAACCTAACCCTTAAAAGCGGACAAAACACCCCAAAAAATTTTAAATTTTCAGATCAAAATAGGTCCGAATTTCAGCATCAGCCATTTTCAGCATCAACTGCGATCTTTATAAGCAGAATTCGTATAAAGTGCGTGTTATTTCAGACGCGCATGAGCGTTATTTCAAAATCAAACATACTATTTTTAGAGGACATGATTTTCGAAATAACGCCCATGCCCGTTATTTAGAGAATTTATGGTATAGGTGCAGTATAAGTGAAACCGCTTTAGTGCTAGTGTTTCATCCTGAAAATTTCAAATTTCACTAGCCAATAAATTTCTGGATCGGCGTAACGCGAAAAAATGCAAAAATTCAACTAATACAGTTGGCCTTAGCTATAATTCTTGCTATAGTTACGCACTTGCGCCAAAAAAAAAGGCTATTATGATAAATGTTGTGCTTATAGGACGGTCAAATTAATATATTTTTAACTTTATACAAATAAAAATATAAATTTCATGATCTTAGTGTGAGTATAGCAAGGGCTGACTGTATAAACCAATTTCGCCGGTAACCATTTCTCCAACAGCCATTCGCCGACAAATTTTGGCTGGGTTGGCCTGCATTGTAGTTAGTGTTGGCTAGAGATTGTCGGCGAAATGGTTGTCGACGAATTCTATTAGACCTTACCCTAATATCAAAAACATAATCCTAAACTTAATAGCGAAGTTTAGCTGGTAATATATATATGGGAAATTCTATTTTCACCCGGGTTAAAGTCACCCAAAATATTACTAAAACTAAATAATTTTAGTTACGTAAATGACATTATAGTTTATCGGGTGAGAATTTCCCTATATATATATTACCAGGGTATAATTTCGAATTAATTAACTACATACTTTACAGATAATTAAGTAGAATTAATTTAATAAGTATTATAAATTATTTTATATCTCTTATGTGAATATCTAGCCATTTTCATACATTTTATTGGGTCACTTCTATACAAACTTTGCTCACCTTTTATCGAAGGTGAGCGAAATTTGTGTATCAAGCACAGTGTTGTCAATTGGACTAATTGGACCGGCAATTGGACCAATTGGACGAATATGTCCAATTAGTCTAATTAGTCTAATTGACGACACTGCTAATTTAATTTAATCAAGAATAATTATTTAAAGGCGGGAAAAGGTCCAATCATTATATAATACAGCCTCAATACAGTTACAAATTCTGGCCTAAATATATTTATTCCATGCATGTTGATAAAAGTTTGATCTCTGAGCTGCATTTAGGAGTTTTGTTTTGTAACTAAAAGATAAAGAAACTATGAGTATGAGTTTTTTTTTTTTTTTGAAGAAAACAAAACCTATTTAACCTATTTATATTAAATATAGCGAAATAGTTTCTCAAAAAAGTATGAATACAATTTTTTATCTTTCAAAAAAAATTAAAAAAAAAACCTGAAATAGTTCGATTAGTTTTTACTGTTATAAAATCTTGGTTCCAATTGATAAATGCAAATATTATTAGAAATACTTATTGCAATAAGTTGTAGCATGAGTATAGACGTAATCATGAACTGCTTAGAAGATATAAAACACTAAATCATACAGCATGTGGGACTTTCTCACTTTTCGGAAAAACACGGGCTTTGTCATATGATAATTAACCAATCA